ATTCAACTCTATTCTAATACAGTTTTTACTTTAGCTCAAGTCAATGAAAGCAAAATGTAGATGACAGTACTATGAGATGTTTATCCTTCCCAACCTGTAACTAGTGGCTCCCTCTGTCCCCAAATGGCAGTTATCCCTCCTGTGTGATTTAAAATGCAAGTATATTTCCTATAAATCTGCAAAACCCAAATAATTCAAAGACATATGGCACTTTGACAATTAATAACATAGCTAATGTAATTTGCCTGGATTATTAAAATGACAATATTTTTTTTTGCAAAGAAAGGTGTCTTTCCATTTGAGAGGTCAAGGTCTATTACTCCAAGCTAAATATAACCCTGAAAATGAGGACTTTGGTGATTAGCTCTCTGAACCTTCTAATCTGATTATCAGTTTTAGCAGATGTTCCTTCAAAGCATTATGGCCATGCATTTACACTGTAACTGTCTGTTTGCTCTTGAATGGATTGTGAATTTCATGGTAGGGTAAAAAAGAAATCCGAGGTAGAGCTAGCCAGGTACTGACCAGAGTCGTAAGCACAGGCCATACAAATTATACATCCCTAATCCTAAAATCCTACATCCAAAATGCTCCAAAATCGGAAACTTTTAAAGCACTGACATAATGCCCCCAAGTGGAAAATTCCACAACTGATCTCAAGTTACCTATCACAGTCAAAAGAGGTGCACCAAAAACATTTCATAGAATCATCTAATATCAGATATTTCATATACATCTAAGGTGTATATAAAAACATTGACAAATTTTCTGTTTAGACTGGAGTCTTAGCTGCAAGATAATCTTATTATGTGTATGAAAAATATTGGAAAATAAAACTCTCAAATATGAAATATGTCTTGTCACAATCAAATTTTGATGATGTGAAAGAAGAAGACCCATTCCAAGGATTGAGATCAGAAAGAAGATCAGGACTCAAACTGCCTTTGCTGGCTTTGGGGAAGTCATGTGTCTACCTAAATCTTTACCTCTCTTACTTCAAAATGGAAAGAATAAAGTGTCTCTTAGATGACGATTGTGGGACAGAATTCACTTATGGAAAGATTAGGCACAATGAAAACTCTCAATAAACATTAAAGGCTAATTTATTGTTTTTGCTATTGATGTTCCCACAATTGTAGAAAAATATCTCTTCTTCTCCCATTCTCTCTTTTTTTTTTGGTAACTGGTCCTGGGTACTGTCTATAGGCTCTTCAGCTCAAGGCTAGCACTTTACCTCTTGAGCCACAGCACCACCCAGTTTTCTGAGTGCTTTATTGGAGTTAAGTGTCTCTCGGACTTTCTTGCCAGGGCTGGCTTTGAACCACAACCTCCAGATCTTAGCTTTCTGAGTAGCTAGGATTAGAGGTGTGATCGTCCACCAGCTCCCAGATTTCCCATTCTTGACACACCACTCTCCAGCACTGTGATAATCAAGGCTAAAATTTGAGGTAAACAATTCATCTGTGCTGAATGTGGGAAGTCTTGGATGAAATAGTCCAAACTTGTCTCAATTTTCTGAGTGCCATGTGCAATTAAAGACGTGAAAGAGATGCTTGTAATCCCAGCACTAGGGAATCTAAGGTAAGAGGCTTTTTTTAAGTTAGGTTTTTCCTACTTCCTCCACTGTGATTTCATACAACCGAAAGTCTATTTAAATATTGTACTAGGAGCACTACACTGTAAATCAGTTAGCACTAACCTCTCTACCTTGTTATGCTATGGATTCCCTATTGTGTTTGTCTTTGCATCCCACACATTAGTACAGGGTTTGGTACATTTTAAAAATTTAAAAACAACACCTCCTCTTCCCCCCTTCCCCCCCTCCCCCATGGAGTTCCATCCTTTGTGTGGCCCTCACATACACTCTGTGTCCAACAGAGGGAGCATGAGAGTAACTATTTCCCATGTGACCCAAGTTTTTGGAAACAACTAGTTGTTGAAAGTTACCTCAACTTCAACAAAACCCTCATGAATAATAAACCCTAATTATTTCTTAGAACAGATCAGTTAAAAATGTCTTAGCAGATGTGAAGATCCCTCCTTAGTGCCAATTTGATTCAAGTTTTATTTTGACAGGGCTTAAACTAACAGGGAGCAAGAGCTTTCTATTTATTAAAGTGTTAACAATATAACCTTTTAAAACACTTTAAAAAAATAACAGGTATCTCCAAATTACTAGGCTCAATTAATTCTTATCATTTGCTCATTCATTGATCAGGCATATTGCCTTTCTCTAATGTCTGTGATAAAGATGAAGCCCATTTAACTCAATACCACCCATAAATTCTTGAGCATCTACCAAACCTCTCAGAGAACAGAGCATCTTACTGAAAGCCCAGAAAAATCTAGAAGCTAATATTATCCAAGTAATTTAAGATTCATTTTCCATGGGGCCAAGGGGACTATGAGAGAGATAAAGATCTGCCATGTGCAGAGATAGTCCTGAATCACTGGAGCTTTTAAGTTTCTTTTAGACTTTAATGTACAGTAGAATGAACCCAGGCCTGCATGTATTTAGAAAGAATACAGGACTGAGAAACTTAAAAACAAAACAAAACAAAACTGGAGCTGGGTACCGGTGGTTCACGCCTGTAATCCTAGCTACTCAGGAGACTGAGATCTGAGGATCGCAGTTCAAAGCCAGCCTGGGCAGGAAAGTCTGTGAGACTTATTTCCAATAAACCACAGAAAACCGGAAGTGGCTGTGTGGCTCAAGTGGTAGAGTGCCAGCCTTGAACTGAAGAGCTCAGGGATAGCACCCACGCCCAGGGTTCAAGCCCCACAACAGATAAATCAAAACACTGTCAACAATCATGGGATAGCACCCAAGCCCAGGGTTCAAGCCCCACAACAGATAAATCAAAACACTGTCAACAATCATGTAAGTAGAAATGAATAGACATTTTATCATTCTACATTATAGATTATCCCACTGTTAAATGGGTATACATAGTTTCTTTAGCATTAAATTTGAGAAGTCCATGGTTTGTATTTTACTGAATACCAAACTACTCTGGGCCTCTGTGGTGTGTCACAGACACTTTAACTGTCATTTAGAATGGCAAGAAGAGCTCTATCTAGATGACAACTTTCCTCAGTTCCTTTCTAGCCTTAGATTTTCTATGGACACATCCTCGGGCTCATGGCAAGCTTTTGTCATAGAAACTGTCTTAAGGAAATACAGAATCATGATCTTCCTCTGGAGGCCATGGAGAAGTCATTTTGCTTTTCCGGAATGGTTTATCAGTGTCATTTCAGTAGTTTTCAGGACATTTAGAGCCTTTTACTTTGGAAGAGTGTTTTTTATTTAAATAGAGTCCTTTCCTTTCTGCTAACATGGCTTGACAAACATAAACTTTTAACTATCTCTCTTATTCAATTCTTCTTCCTCTGTCAGTGATTGAAGAGGTGTTAAGACATAGTCCATTTGGTATAGAAAAAGAGAGAAAAAATAACATGGCTAGAGTGCCTCTCTGAGCACTGATTTCAATCTGTGTTTAAAGACTCCCTGCAGAAAGCTAAGAAACCTGTTTTTGCTCTACTCCTGTTCCAAGTTCATGAATCACACAGCCTCTCTGAGTTGACTGTATATTCATTCTGCTTTGGCCAAAAGCACTCTGATGTTCATTACCTAAAGGGAACTATCAAAAAGTGACATCTAACTGGTGTGACCTCTTCAAGCAAGAATAGCTGATGAGGTCAACGTCATAGGTTTTAGTCCCACACGGCTAGTTCACATTGTCCTCTTTACTGGTGGGAGCTGGTATGCCATCTTAAAAATATATTCCAAGGTTGTGTGTGTGTGTGTGTGTGTGTGTGTGTGTGTGTGTGTGTGGTGGGTGATTTGCTGGAGGTAGCTTTCACTGTCTCTTGCTCTGGAGAATTGACCATACCCATCTCTCTACATTTCTGCATTCACTGATGGAGATCGGTAAACTATACAAAAGAGATTCCTCCCTCTTTTTGTCTCTTTGAGAGAGCTTTAAGTTAAACTTTTGCCTCTATAGCTCTGAGTCAAGCAGACTCATTTCTGGAGCAGCTTAGTCTCTTCCTAGGAATAAAATTCTGTACCCTGATTTCAGAGCTGTTGGACACTGACAGATAACAGGTGATGTGCAAAATATCACAGATTGTTGGCCCACTATGTGCCAGAGCCCTGTACTCTTCAGGATTTTCCCAGAAAATTGGAGGAGAACTTCAATCAACTCCCTACTGTGCCCTGGAAGTTGGGTTGTGGGGGATGATGATTTACTAGAGAATGTCAAACAAAACAAAAGGAGAGGGAGAGGAAAGGAAGATACATTCATTGAGAGAGCTGTTTCAAGTATCCCCCAAATATCTTGAATACATAGATGCAGTTGTCAAAAATTCATCAGACCGCACACATAAGATGTTTTAGGAGTCTCTAATTAAATATAAATTAGAATTGCATGAGAATCCATACAGAATGGATTTCATGTAAAGTCCATTTAGATATTGAATCTAATGGAGTCAATTGTAAAGCACAAGACTGGATACACTTGACCCCAATGAGACCCACAAGTCTCTCTCTTTCAGCTCCCTTTACATCTGTGCATTTCTGGGTCCTAAAGTGTGAGCTCAGGCTTCTTCACCGTGATGCAGCAATTCAGGACATTGAGCAATGTCCCCTAGGTCATTTTCTTCCTTCCTGGTTTGGGTCAATGATGGGAAATCACAGACAACAGACATAAACACACTAGAGGGATATACCCTTCTGGGCAAAGGAGTAAGTTTGGAAAGTAGGTTCAACTCTTCAACATAGTGGGGATTTCCTCCCTCCTGGACATCCTTTGCAGGGCTGGCAGGGGGTGGGGGGTTGGTTAGTCATAGCCCTAGGCGTGAATCAGCCTCTGCAAGCTCCGCCCTGTCGGGGGTCAGCTAGACTCTTCCCACATAAAGCAGAGCCCACCTTCTGAAGTTCAGACGCAGCACACCCTCTCCCGTGGGGCTCCTTCTTGGCAGGCTCTGGGCAGCTTGAATCCGCACCATGGACCTTGCTCGACCCCTGGGACTGTTGCTTCTGGAGCTGCTGCTGATGGAGGTTGCGCCCGGCTTGAATGCTGGGGCACCCACAGGTATCTAAGGCTGGGCGTCTTCCCAGGTCCCCGCGGCTGTTTTCCTGCTGCTGTTTCCCTCTGTTCTCCACCACCACCACCACCCCGGCCCCCAGGTCCTTGCCACTCACCCAGGGAGACTCCCCAGTTGCCCCTCTGTCCCCCCCCCCCGAAAGGGTACAAAACTCCCCAGGGATGGTGTGCCCTTCCTTCTCAGGAACTCAGTCTGACTGCCTTCCCTGCCTGTGGCATTCTGTCCTGCCCCTCCACTAGGCAATAATGCCAAAATCTGCCTTTTGCCCCCGGACGAAGGAATCTGCCGGGCCCTACTTCTCAGGTACTACTATGACAGGCACACGCAGACCTGCAAGACTTTTTCTTACGGGGGCTGCTACGGCAACGCCAACAATTTCTACACTTTGGAGGAGTGCGAAGACGCCTGCTGGAGAATAGAGAGTGAGTGTCCCCAGCGCCTTCTTACACCAGGCTTCTGGCTCCTTCCTCCTTCAAAGGGCGGCTAGGAACTCATCTCACTTTCCTGATGGGGTTTTCTCCAGGAATTCTGAGCTTGAATTTCTTCAAGTGTTCAGCAAACTTCACAGCCTTTTAGTTTCCCAAAGGAAAAGAAACATCTACAACCACTAACACAGTCTGTCTCCCTGCGCTGCGCTGCGTGACATCTCTGTACTCCGGGACTGTGTGTACTTTAGGAAGAATGTAGGAGTTCCTCACGGGGGCCAAATAAATGCAAGGGACAACTTAAGAGCTTTCCTGTATTTATCATGAGTTCCCAAGACTACAGCTTTTCTTTCCCTCCTTGAGACCGTAGCCAATTATCCATCTTTTTGAAGTATTTTACTTTGAAAAGGTGTGTTTTAGCTTCTTCAGTGACTTCATTTCTGTCCTTAGAGGTTCGTGCAAACACCAAGTTTAGATTCACAATACTGTGTTCTGCTTGAGGATATTTTTGTTTGGTTTTTATTTGATTGTTAAGGAGTGTAATGGGTTTTTCCAGTTACAGAACTGAGTCAGGGGGAAATAATGCATTCTTAGAAGTAATTGATTAACTTCACATGCAGAAGTAGCCAGAGAACAGAATCCCTATTGAATTTGAATGATACATCACAGTGGAGTCATGTCTGGGTGTACTGTGTTTAGGAAAAAAAAAAAAGGAAATCACTAAATGTAATTATTTTTCCTTGGTTGTTTCTGTAATTGTGGTAAGTTTTTTTTTAAGTAATATTAAAATGACCACTTTTAATCATATTATTTTATTCCCTCTTCTCTCCTTCCTCCCCCGCCCCCAGAAGTTCCTTTAATTTGCCGTTTAGAAGTCAGTAAGGGTCAATGTGGACAGCCCAGAGAACAGTATTTCTTCAACTTAAGTTCCATGGCATGTGAAAAATATATGTCTGGGTCATGTGAACACAATCAGAACCGATTTCCTGATGAAGCCACTTGTAGGAACTATTGTCTGCCAAAGAAGAAAGGTAAGCCATATTTTTATGATGTTTCTATTTCATTTTTCTTTCAAGACTTTTGAGTAAAAAATGGTTTCATTAGAAATTAACATGCTTTGTAGTCTTGTAATTTCACTTAGTATGCTGTAGCATTTTTACTTTATTTCGTTTTGCTTGGGATCTAAACCAGACCCTGTCAGTCCTAATATTACAGCCCCAGGTAGCAGTCTAGCCCTCCATTTTAACATGTGAAGATGTAAACTAGAAGTTAATGACTTGCCAAATTCTCAAGGCTGGGAAGGGACAAAATCATTATTCAAAATGTTGCTGCTTTTTTCATGTTGTCTCTTTAGAACTACAGGATTCAGTTAAATAGCCTTCATCCAAAAAAAAATCTGAAATCAGAGGTGGTCAGAATAAACAATTTGAGCACTTACAGGTATCACAAGTGGAAAATTTCATTCCTGACCTCCTGTGATGGAGAGGTCTCAGTCAAAATGCAGGCACACTGAAAATCATCGCAGAAAGAAATCTCTTCAAGCTAGGAGTATATGGTATACAGGAAAGTTAAATGAATTTCTTGATTAAACTTGAGTCTCATCTCAAAGATCTCTCATCATGCATATTAAATTATTACAAATTTGACAAATTCTGGAATACTTCTAGTCCTAAGCATGTGGGATGAGTTATGCTCACCTTCTATTGCTCAGTTCCTTAACTTTAGAGTAAAAATTATTATAGTACTCTTTAATAAAGGCCATGACTTCAAGTTTGTGGAGAATCAGATAGTGGATTATATGCTCAAGATTTTGATTAGCTTTCTGTATTTTTTGTAAATGCAAATTGCAGCAAAGATATTCTAGGTCTCCTTTATTCATGACTTCTTACTTATTCCATTTTACACTTCCCATCTTTGAAATGATAGGCTATTTGTGCAGTGTTTAATAAATGTGAAGGGAGATAGCCCAGGCATCTTTTTCAGATCCAGCAGAGACAATTTCATTAAAAAAAAAGAGATTTAACAAATAAGCTGGGTGCTGGTGGCTAATGCCAATAATCCTCTATACTCAAGAGGTTGAGGTCTGAGGACTTCAGCTCAAGGCTAGCACTGGCAGAAAAGTCTATGAGACTCTTATCTCCATTAACCACCAAAAAACTGTGGAGCTGTAGTCAAGTGACTTCAGACTTAAGTGAAGAAGCTAAGGGACAAGCTAGCCTCAAGGCCTTGAGTTTAAGCTCCCATACTGGTACACACACACACACACACACACACACAGACACACACCATAAAGATTTAGAATTACCAAGAAATAGCATACCTTCAATTTGAGACATACCTTAAAGTTTAATGAATAAATTCTGTGATTAAGAATAAAGTTTCTATGGGATTAGATGTTCTTCACTGTTCATTAATTTTGCTATTCTTATTTTCTTTTTCTTAAAAGCTCCATCCTTCTGTTACAGCCCAAAAGACGAGGGACTGTGCTCTGCTAATGTGACTCGCTATTATTTTAATGCAAGATACGAAGTCTGTGAGGCCTTTACCTATTCTGGCTGTGGGGGAAATGAAAATAACTTTTATTACATGGAAGATTGTGAACGTGTTTGTGCACAAGGTAATAGATTTCTTCTTATCCAGTCTTTAAACAAACTTTGTGAATAATTCATAAGCAAAAATATGTATTCTGTATCCATTTGACTACTAGAAATGGCCATTTGTAGATTAATCCAACATAAATGGCACTTCCATGCTGATTTGTTTTGTTAAATATACATCCTGCCTAGCTGCAGCAGTCCATGGCTACATTCTCGTATTTTAAAAGGTAGAGATGTTATCAACAGAGTGTACTATGAAACTAAGGAACTTTATCATCAGTACAAAGGAGATCAGTTGAGCTCATAAGCATAATGGAAAAGCTGAGCTCAAGTGAGCCTATGGACTGTAGACATGTGATGTTGATTATTATTTTGTTGATTTCAGCCTTGGAGAAGGATGAAAAGAAGATGCCAAGGCGTTTCTCTGCCAGGAAACGGCTGAACCTCCTGAAGATACGCTCTAGAAAGAATTCTAGCAAATTGGTTACAGTTTTAGCGGAAGACTACTAGGGTAGCATGGGAAGGGAGCATCTGTTCATAATTTTATCTCTAAAAGTTACTTTTACAATTGCTATACAACTTGTGGGTAGATCAGGAGGGGGACACTGGAGGAGAGTGAAGGAAGGGCTGACATTGTCCAAAAAGAAATGTTCTCATTGCCTGACTTACGAAATGGTAACTCCTCTGTGCATCACCTTAATAATAAATTTTTAAAAGTAAAGAAAAACAAAAGAAAAAATAGCATAATAAATTAAAAACTCATTCATCTAAAAACTTTAAAGATTACTTTTATAGTTGTATATATACAAGTAGCTGCTACTCAAATATGAACTTAGCATTTTTAATGTTCCTATGTTTATGAGATGGAATTTTCTTAGGATACAAGATGTAGTGCAAATCACTCACCTAGTTCTTGGGGTGGCTAGTCTTAATTTCAGAAGGCAACAATAACAGAAATGGAATAAGACTATGCAATCAGGAAACTTTAACATATAGGAACATAAAAAACTGGGAAATATATTTCACTATAAGTTTAAAAGACAGAGTATATTTTAGGCCCAATGAGAAAAAGGTACAGATTTGCCAGCACCTGAAAAGTTATTTCAAATAGTATGTAGATCCTCTACCTGTAGTCCTTCTATAGTGTCAGATGGTAACTGATGAGGAAGGGGGCTTATTTCAAATATTGTAATAAAGTGTTTTTATCTGAATTAAAAGCTGATCAGTTAAATAAAATAAAAAAATCCTAATGGTTAAAAATTAGGTTGCATCTCTATTTCTGTATCTATTTATTTTTCTGTCTACCTGTCTACCTATTTACTCTCACATACATGTATATATTTATGCATGCGTATAATACATAGATGACTTTCCACTTTTCCTGTTATAGTATTTCCACCAAAAATGATTTGGAGAACAATAAAGTTGTTAAAAAATGTTGTACTATTCAAAGTGTTTGTATTACACCAAGAATCACAATCACTCATGATTTAGTCATCTAAATTCCATGATTAAATTACTTTAGATATTTAATAATGCTTTCTATAATTATGATTAGATTGTTTCTCTATATTGCAAAAGTTTTTAAACACTCTGTTTTCTAGGTACAATTAGCATGTTTAAAAGTATGCCCCATGTTTAGTAAAATTATAAATGTATTTGCCTTGTGCTTGAGAAATCTTTGAAAATTTATTTCAAAGTTATTTTGACAGACAGCTTTATGCTAGGTAGCAATGACTGCAAACAACAGGTGATTGGCTGAAGAAATTATGGATAAGGAACTATATAATATATATTATATACCAGGTATATTATATTAAAAATATTCTTACCTCAGGAATGCATTTATAAAGAGGACCTCAAATATGGGATAATCATACACTTGCACACAAATACCAAGGAAGACATAAAATTATGAGTGATTATTCATTGGGGAAAAAGAGTGTGGACATGAGATAAAGTTAGTATCTCCACATATATGCTATTGATTTTGGGCCATGTATATACATATATATATTTCACAATTTAAAACAAGTTAAAAATTTAAAGGCATTTGGTAAATTATTGGAAACAAACAAAAGCAAGTGCATCTAACTGAAAACATCAAATAGAATAACTGCATAGAGGATGTATCCTTATTTTCAGTGAATTTCAAAATGAGCACTTTTGACTGTATGTCTTTTGAAGTCTATAATCTAAGGATCAAAAATTCTGGAGAAAACTGAAAAAGCATTTATAAACTAGTCTTATTATAATTAGCAACACTGCTATTGTTATTTTTAACCTATCATATATAGCATTCTAGTATACTATATATTCCTTAAAAATCAAGTATTATTTTTCTTTAGATTTCTAAGTATTTACCTTTAATACTTATAGGGATAGAAGTATAATAAAGAAAATAAATAAGTAACTTCAGCTAAGTGCCACTGACTCATGTTTGTAATATAAATTATTCAGTAGTTTGAGATCTGAGCATTAAGGTCCAAAGCCAGCCAGGTCACAAAAGACTTTGAGACTCATTCTCCAATTAGTTAATAAAATATACTAAACTGGAGATGTGACCCAAGTGGTAGAGTGCAAGTATGAGTGAAAAAAGCTGTGAGTTTAAACTCTGGTACTAGCACAAAATCTTTCATTTTTAAACTGGAATTAAAAAAGTATTAGTATAACATATAATTTATTTTCTCTTTCAAAAAATGTGTTTTTTCATTTTTCCATTCAAAAGTCCTCCAAGCAATGATAACTCAATACAAGATTTTGGCCTCTCAAAACTGTATGCCACAAGAAGAACCGGTGCTCTTAGGAGAGATCTTTGAATCCAAGTCATGGGGGAAAAATACATTAAGATGAGCCTGAGCCATATTAGTCCAGAAATAAAGAAAGCGATCGAAGGGTAATGAGCCAAGTCATGCAAAAAAGGACACTAACATTAAGTAGCTCACATTGAGGTAAACTGAGGTAATACAAGCTTCAAAGCAATTAAGGACCTGAATATGTAACAATCCATGTGCTCAAATTCCCTATACGTTTCTACATATGTACACACTCATGAAATCTTTCTTAGTAACTTTTTATAAATCATTAGGGTATTATTTTATTACTTAGAAAGCTGATGAATTATCTTTAAAAAAAACTGTACCATAAAAAGCTAAAGCATGTATGAGAAAAATTCATTTGTAAAAGAGTTCCACCTAATACATGCAACTAGAAAATTCCCTGAATGAAAGCGTCAGTCTAGGCCATGATAATCAGTGTTGCTGAAGCCATTCCATGAAAGGTGGTTGGGAAGCAATCCCATGGGGAGCTTGGGGATCAGACTAATCCATGAGCTTGTAGATGATTCTAACACCCAGGAAAGAATAGCTTCTTGCTATGGTACGATATGCAGTGTGTCCCTCTCCGCAAGCTATTCTCACAGAAAGAAAAACTAGTACCTCCAGGTTCTCAAATTAACAAAGAAATATTGGGGATCCAGAAGCAAACTATAAGAATCTTCTAAATTGCTATACTGTTTACAGGGCAAATAACTCTTCCTCATCCAACAAGGCAGTGGAATTTTTAAAAGTTTCAGGAGATGGGCTGTTTTGTTTTGTTTTGTTTTTTATAGACTATGTGACTTAACAACAACAAACATCAGTATAGTATTTAAAAGATTTGTGGTGGAATACAGCCTTCATTTCTGACTGGTTTTGGTGAGCTTGGATAAAGATTATAGTAGAAAAATCTTAGGGTATGATCTGGGAATTTAGAAATAAAAAGCCTTGAGGATTCTAAAGGTTCCTTGGATCTCTTTTTTTAAAAAAATTTGTTGTAAAGATGATGTATAGTGGGGTTGTAGTTACATAAGTCAGGCAATGAGTACCTTTCATTTTGAACAGTGTCACCCCTTTCCTCATTTTCTCCCAGTTTTTTCCCTCCTGTTCACCCCTCCACACCAAGTTGTATAGCATTTGTAACACAGTGTCCAGTGAGTGTCACTGCTGCATTGGTTCACCCTTTGTCCCACCATTTCTGTGCTTCCCCTTCCCCTCCTAAAAGGAATCTTGCTTAATAAGCTACTTGCTACTTTTAACACCCCTTATAGCCAAGGCTCATAGGGCCCTTAAAGCTCACAGTTATATTCATAGCTCTGTTCAACGTGGATTAAGGGTAGAGCCTTCACAAACAATTTTTCTTGTGCCTCAGCCATTTCCAAAAACATACACCTAAACACAATATTGTCTCCTGCAAATATGTGCCATTACTGTTCTTCAGTTAAAAGTTAAAAGTAAATACAATAAGTTAAACTATAAAGAAAGTAATTAAAAGCACTCATAGGGTATTTTACAGTCAGAAGGCAATTACTTTTTTTTATTGTAAAAATACCCTACAGAGGGGTTACAGTTACATGAGTAAGGCAATGAGTACATTTCTTATCGAGCATTGTTACCTCCTCCTTTGTTTTTCCCCTATAACCCCTTCCCTTTCCACCCCCCCAACTCCTCCCTCTCCCCCTCCCTTGGAGTTGTAAAGTTCATTTTCAACATATGGGTCAACCTGTATCCTTCTTTCAGCATTTTATTTCCCTTCCTCTCCCCAAATTAGAAAAATGTATATCCAAGATGCAGGGCACCAGAATCAAATACAGTGAAAACAGGGGTTATACCATAGGGGAAGAACATAACAAAAGAAACAAAAGTATCACATGGTACATTATAAATACATTAAAAACAATAGCAAGAAAGATAAAACCACTTGTGTCCTTACCTTGGGGTTCATTTCGCTTAGCATCATCTTATGTGGTCATATGTACATGGCTTTTGACCTTTTCTGCTTGTCCTAGTGATATGTGTGTGTGTGTGTGTGTGTGTGTGTGTGTGTGTGTGTGTGTGTATGTATATATATTCCTTTATCAGAAAGAATGACACTGCCTCATTTGTTAGGAAATGGAAAGACTTGGAAAAAATTATATTAAGTGAAGTAAACCAGACTCAAAGAAACATAGGTTCCATGGTTTCCTTTATTTGCAATACCCAGAAGGCAATTTCTTTTGGGTACAGTCAGCTTGAAGACAACTCACTACTGTGGTTTTACCAGACAGCCATGAGGAATGTCCTAGACTGAAACACAATCAAAAGAAAAACAAAACAAAGCCCAAAAGAAATGAGATGGCTTCAATAAGATGATCATCTTTTACTGAAAAAAAATCTGCAATATGACTCATGTCTTCTTTACACCAAACATTGTCTAAGAATACAAACATGGAAGTTGCAAAGTTCCCAAAGTGCCTGCATCACAATATTCCCAAATAAACATGCTGTCTCCACCAAGACTTTTAGCTAATGATCTCATTCACACACTTTGCAGTGTTTGCTCCTGCCTGATGTAGGGGCTGAAGAAATTCCAGCTGTGCTGTCACTAGGGAGAAAGACTCTAGAGAATATACCTAAAATATACCACCAGTAGTATGTTCATAGATCTATCTTTGAAAGGCTTAAAATGTTGTAAACCCCAAGATGGTAGCAGGA